AAAAAAGGTTACCATATAAGATAATTGGAATGCAAAGGTAACAAAATTTAAATAACTTACAAGCTCGTTGACCATAATTTCATCATCATTACTAACAAGTTTATCTCCATTCTGATGTAACCCAATATTCCAATTCTCTCTCATGGGTACCTTTTCAAAATGGTTTGGTAAACACATAATTGTACTGGTTACTCTTATAGCAGCAAGTCTTAAGTCTTCCAAGGGTACATCAACTCTAAAACCCGGAGCCAGTTTTGGTAAAATCATTTTAATTCCAACCACAAAATCAGGCACCATCATTCTTACACCTTCCAATTCTGTAGCGAAAAGTGATGTTGTGTTCATCAATATTGTGGGTAAACAACTATCGACACGCAAACCTTCAATTAAAGCAAGGTAGAATTGCGTAACATAATTGCGTAAAAACTTTTCACGTTTCTGAGGTAAACAAAATATTCTACAAAGAATACCAAATGCAGCCGCTCGACCGAGCTGAGTACCCGCATCAGGTCGACTCATCATACAAGCTTGAAATAGCCATGGACCAAACATATGCAATATTGTGTTTCCATCAGGCATTGCGAAAAAAGAACACCCAGTATCTTGTTGAAGATCTTGAGAAGATTTATGGATAGTTGGCTGACCAATTATTTGAAGTGCTTCAATGATTTTACCAATTCCCGAAATTGCCGAGGAAAAGTTTGAAGATGGTAATGTACATGGATTATTTATTAAATAAACCATTCTATGCCAAGCATAATATACAAAATCAGTTGGAAGGTCTAATCCAACATTATAACCACCCACAGTAACGTTAACCATATCAGCACCTTCTTTAGGACCATATAATAATCTGACAACACGTTGAGTTAATGCCAAAGTGGTTGCATTCCATTGTAAAAGAGCTTGATGTCTATGTGTCCATTGATTAAAACATTTTTTAAAAATATCCCACATTTCAACTTTACGAATTTTTGATCTTAACCATAACTCAAAAAGTACCCTCAATAAATGTTCACATAATTCATCGGCCATAGCCATAGCAGTTTTTTTATCCATATTTCCATCTGAAGTCATAGTAGCGATAGGTTCATGCAATAAACAATCAGTTATTCCCAAAACAACCTTCAAAAGCACAAGCCAAGTTTCTTCAGAAAATTGAGGACCTAAAGTGCGGCCAGCCATGGTTAACACAATCAAAACGCCCTTACATAATTCAATATGGCTTTGTAAATATGTATTCGTTGCTATTTGATTGTTACTTGCAGGAAATCCCGGAGTTGTAGGTGTTGAAGTATTAGAAGCAGGAGTTGGATAACGAGGTTGAAATAATAACGAATAATGATGAAATATTATCTGAAAAACATGAAAAAATTTTAATTTTAGTAATATAAATATATATATATATATATATAAAGAAATAGGAATAAAATTCCAAACCTGCCAAAATTCTTGTTCTTCTTGTTGTCCAGTAGCATTCCTAATGGCAGCAGGCCTAGAATTTGGTTCAAATAACCATTGTGAATATAATTCCTTGGAATTCGCCGTAATAGACATATCTTCTAAAGGTAAAGCAAATCCTTGACCAATAGCTTCCATAACCCATTTAACGTGAGTGATCGATGATAAAAGGTTTGGATCATGCGCTTGGAGTAAAGTGTGGGTTATCTCAGAAATAAGTACCTTTCGAACATTTAAAGGAAATTTAGCCAGAACATTGCTTTCTACCAAAGAAAGGAAATTACAATCACATGTAATGTTATTTAGCATAATCAGAATCTAAACACAATGAAATAATATTGAAAATATAAAACAATTAAAAAAACTTTTTTAAAGTACAAATTTAAAATATTGATCTGTACCAGGATTATGATCGAGAAGTCTTAACCAGGAAATCCATTGCAAAAACATTGCTTATTGTAGGACTTTAGAAATCCTGGTAACACACCAGTTTACGAGAAAATTAACGCCTTAGCAATCGTAAATAAATTAATCCTTTGTTTGATAGAAAAGGAATTAATGCGTTAAAAACAATTTTGGCACATGACAAATGCGGGAGTCAAACTTTTATGCAACGCTTGCCTGATTGTTGAACCGAATGTTGTTTTTTTTTTTTATTTAATATATATATATTTTTTTTGTTTAAAGTCGGGATAAAATTAAATATAATTTAAGTTTACGAACAATTGAAATAAGATTGGATTAATGCAAATTGTTGATAAATACTTTATTGAAATTTATAAAATTTGAAATAATGACATTTTTAACAAAAATTAAAAATTACAAGTGAACAAAATTTGAAAACATGGGTAAAAACGAAGAACCGAAGATTGATCTTCGAGTGGTTTATTAGTTGACTATTTGAGTAAAATTAAACGTAACACAAAGTATGGTAAAAGACGTACAGTAACGGATGGACTTTATTGTAACACCTGCATGATATTCGAGGTCCATCTATCATGCAAGGGCCATGGTCCGGACCGGTCTTTTGGGCCAGTCCAACCAGTTTTCGGTTCTAAATGGAGGGCCAGTCTGGACTGGTCCATAGCTTATAGAATGATCTCATTGGCCAAAAAAAATTTTCCGATGACCGTATCTACAAGTTTCCGATGTCGCCTAATTCAGTAACTTATTGATTTTGACTTGGTTACTTGTCGATTCGGCCATTGAAATTTTTTCAATTGTCCCAGAATTTATGATGATGGTTGTAAGGTCTTTTTTACAGTATATGTAGCGATCATTAAAAACCACATAGCTTACTTTGAAAACCAACCAATAGACCGGTTTATGACCGGTCCTGGATAACGGTCTAGTCCGCAAGAACTGGCCTTTACTGTAGGACTAAGATAACAGTGTCGGAGAAAAATCCCGGAGCTTCAGCATACGATTCCGGTATAGCCATATTCTAGTTTTTCTGTGAGCAGCAGTTTAAGGAATCTACAAACAAATAATTGTTAAAAGAATATTCCAAAACGTAGGTTATTGCATTACATATCTGTAGACATAGTATATGTGTGACGGCTTTTTTGATCGCATTTTGAAGTACTGCAATAAGCTGTCTACCTGTATTTCATAAAACGATCATTCATATACTTGCATTGGAGAATAATAAATATAATATTGTGGCGTGTATATTGGATGAGATTGATGAAATTGAAATCTATTAATTTCAATCGGCCTTATGTCCCGATCGTTTGAAAATTGAAATATCTTGCTTATTAACTTTCTTCATACTCAAGCACTCTTTTGTGACGTTCATTTAAGATTATCCGCGTTAACGTTGCGGCTTACTTTTAACCTTTCGTATTTTATGTAAATACAAATACTGTATTATTAAATTTACCTATGAATGCGGCTACATACTTGTAATCCGGGTAGCTAATATAATTAAGGCAACGGAATGTAGCGGGAAAATCAGTTTTATTGGATCTACTATATTAATATTTCATTCACCGACAGTTCATTTAGCCGACATCACACCAGGTTACAATTTACCAAAAATATATACCTGCAACCAATCAAATGCTAACCCTGATCCTATGTGATGTCGGCTAAATGAACTTTCGGTGAAATGACTGTCGGTGAGATGAACATTGTATTGATATGGGCATGAAACATAATCTACACGATGAATCCTTCCTTTTCTTAGCATCGTAGATGCGACATAGAAAAAACTGATATTAGTGATAACTTTATACGTAGCTGATAGTGACGTATTGAAATTTTAGATGTTCTCATTTAGCTTTAAATTTTGATTCGATATCTTTGCAGTGATTTTTTAGACGACGTAAAATATATGATACGTCAAAAAATAACTTCATGGAAAGAGAGGGATGCAGGATTTTGTAACTTATCAGGTAAATGCGGATATTATGGCGAATGAGCAAATTGGACATATAAAAAGAAAACGAGACCTTTTTGCTAAGTTTTGCTTACTAAATAAAGTTGTTCGAAATGCCATCTTTTACTTACACTCAAATTTTGGCGCAATACGAATAACTTTTCGTTAATAGGTTTTTTTGTTATGTTTTGACGCAGAAAAGCAAGCTATTCGTATTTCACCAAAATTTGAGGGTGAATAAGTAAAGCTTGATTTATTTAGCATAAAGTCTTGTTCTAAGTATAAAATCTAATCTATTTTTTT